TTTTATAAATACAATACTTAGTTCTTTTATGTCTTTAAAGAAATGTAAGAAAATATGCCAAAATTGCGAAGATATAACATCTATTATGTCTGCATCTATAAGATGAACGATATATTTAGATGGATTGCTTGGGAGAGATAAATTTGATTCCTGTAACGCGTAGTATAACGTCATCGGACCGGATACAAAATCAGAACATATATAATGTTTTAAATGCCACAAGCGAGTTGAATTAGAAGTGTAATTAGGAAGAATACTTAAATGCCTGTAGAATACATAATTGTTAATAAATGTAACAATGTCATCATAAGGTTTCGCACCAGGAAATTTTATGAACTTGTGTCTGTATTCAGACACAATCTCTTTCAATGAACCATTAATATGGGTGATATTCATGTTCAGTAATAGCAACAGCTTGGCGCAGCAATCCGTATGATTTCGATGAAAAAGTATTTTATGATCATTACAAAAATTAGCTGAATAGCAAATTTGGCACGGCTGGACGTTTATTTGTTTGTAACAAACATAACAAGATTTCGGGAATATTAACATTTCTGTTTCATACCGGTATGTTTCGCGTGATAGAACAGCCAGTATTTTTACTGTAACGTCTTGTCGTGATTCCATCCATTCTTCGGAGTTACGGTATGTGTCCCAATATGATATGTCCGTTATTACGAATGTTATAGCATTGCACATCTCCAAGTGTGAATATTTATGTACCTTCTGGTGCTCCTTAGAACAGTAAGAAATCATATTGCACTGATTACATGTTATTAAGTCTCTGCTGGGCCGTTTGCAAACATGACAAACGTTTGGATTGAAAAACTGATTATATTTTTCTTCTGTGTATGGTCCATAAAATCTAGATAACACTTTTGGATACTCGAATGAATTCATCGCAAAACTTCTTAATTATAATTTATGAATATCTTGCTTATAATATTTACTTCAAAATGATGCGCGAAACTCGACAACTTACACAGAGTGTAACAGAAATATTTATACGAATTATATATAGATGTTTAACCAGTAATAGTTCACGGGACACTAATAACGAATACAAATATGTTTGTACCGAAAAAGTTGTTGACAAAATAAATTGTAACTACCAATATGAGGAACTAGAAATATTCATCAGTGTGCAATTATAATATGATACATTCCTTATGAAAATCTACTTTAGGATTGAAAATGTAGCACAAAGTTTAAAAAGGAAGATAGTTTAGTAAATTTGTGCTAAGTTTGAACAAAACTTTATGCATTTTGGTAATGTACTAAAAAAAATACTTTAAATGAATTAAACCGTTAAGAGGACTTTTTTATATGTAGTGATCAGCTTTCCTCGTTCAAACAATGGTAAGTGTTACTTAACTTTGATGGACGAGCGGCAGTAATTATTCTATTATCTCTTATATAATAAGTTTTATGTATTCTGAAAAAATAAGAAATAAAATACTACTGATTTGTGTCTGAATGCATCCCTCAGTAAGAAAATTATATTTATTCCTGAATTTTATTAAGAAATGAGTGCCATCACATCTGTACTGAAATAAAATTACGATAAAACAATACATTATTTTCTGCACTTGAATGGGTGGGTCGTGTGATTTAAATTCATTAATACATAATAAAATGCACATTTCGGTAATAAAATCTTCCAGTTACATAATTTCTATATGGCACACAACCGTGGAATTTGTTTTGTCTGTATATTCGCTTCCTGGTTATATCTATTATTTCTTCTATCTTATTTACATTCTTTTGTGGTATATTTTCCGATTCGGCGGTTAAAAGCAACGGACACTCTTATTGCTGTTACAGATTCAAACCATGATCCTACAAATGAACCTTATGTTTCAAGTATAATCAGATTTGGTCGCTCATATGAATCTGAGCGTACTTATTGTGGCATGGCTCTGATACATATTTAACATAAAGTTCCTGGTTGCACATAGTTATTGCAAATAGAACACACAAACCCTAGATCTTTGGATTCGAATATTGGCGATTTGATAAATGCAATATACAGTTCCTTAATTTTTTTAAAAATATGTAAGAAAATATGCCAAATTTGCAAATACATTCCATCTATTCTAATTGCATCTATAACAGGAACAATGTATTTACGTACAGTGCGTGGAAGTGATAATAAATTTGATTCCTGCCATGCGTAGTATAATGTCATCGGACCGGATATATATGCAGAACATTTATAATGTTCACATGTGCAGTGCTGAGTTGAATAAGAAAATTTTAATATTATACGAATATATGTATCTTTTGTGGATATATAATAATTAAGAAATGTAATAATGTCATGATAAAGTTTCTCTTCAGGAAATGAGATGAACTTTTGTCCGTATCGACCCTCGACTGTCTCTTTCATACAGCCGTTAATATAGACGATATTCGTGTTTAGTAACAGCATCAACTCATCGCAATATTTTTTATGAAATAAATTAAATAATATTTTGTGATCATCACAAAAATTGGCTGAATAGCAAGTGCTGTAGAGTCTTATGTTTGCCATTCGGAAACACAAATAACACGTTTTTGCACATAGTATCATCTCCGTTTCATACAAGTATGTGCAGCGTGATAAAGTTGTCAGTATTTTTTGTAAAATTTCTTTCCGTGATTCTATCCATTCTCCCGGGTTACGATATGTGACCTAAAACGATTTGTCCGTTACTGCATTTGCTATAACTTTGCAGATTTCCAAACATTAATATCTCTCCTGGTGCTCCATGGATCATTAAGAAATCATATGGCATTGATTACAAGTTATGAAGCATCTGCTGGGCCGTTTACAAACATGACAAACATTTCGATTGATAAACTGTTTATAATTGTCTTTTATATAAGGCTCCACGAAATCTACTAATTTCTTTAAATTCATCGCAATACGTCTTAGTAACTATCATTTACGAGTATTTTGTTTGTAATATTTACTTGAAAATAATGCGCGAAGCTTGACAAGTCCCCAGAGTGTAACAGGAACGTTTATACGAATTATATATAGATGTATAACGAGTAATAATAATACACGTGACAATAATAACGAATACAAATATGTTTATATCGAAAATGTTGTTGACAAGATGAATTGTAACTAACAATATGAGGGCCTATGAGTATTCTTTGGTGTAAGGATGACAATATTCATTCCTCATGAAAATCTACTTTAAAAGACTGAAAATATATTACAAAATTTATGAAGAAAGATGCTTTAGTAAATTTGTGGTAATTTCTAGCAAAATTTTAAATATTTTGGTAATGTGCTATAAAGGTCACTTCAAGTAAACTAATCCGTCAAAGAAATGTTTTTGATCTGTGTGATCAGCTGTCCATGTTATGACAACGGTATGTTCCTTAACTTTGAAGATCGAGAGACACGCAGAGATCTTAACGGCTAAAACGATGTTATCAGGACTTATATAACGTATCGTTAAATATTCACGGAGTATTATATTATATTTACTCACAAACATTGAAATGATGGATCAACATTACGAATGCGACAAATATTAGTATAATGTGTATTAATGTGCAAGTACTTACATAACTGCTGTGAGGTTTTCAACAAATTATTATTCTGATAAATCGAAACAGAAAATAGTTTAAAACAATTTACACAATAGTCAAAATTTAAAAAAACTGTTTGGAATTCTTGTTTTAAATAATAATGCCTCATTACCAAGCAAAATTGATTTTTTTCAGCGATATAACAGAGCTTTTAAGAAAATCATAAACTCTATACAAATATATAATTTTTTATAAGCGAGAAACTCAGAAACCAATGTCAATTATGAAATACCGAATGCTATATAGTTGTACAAAATTACATATAAATTATGTACATTTGTGTATATATTATTTAATAATAAATAATAATAAATTATGTGTACATATACATAATTATATTTATTGAGGGATTATATATATTTATACATAAGCAGCATTAAGCAGCCTTGTACAAAATTATGTGTAAATCCATGTAAAATTATATATAATCGTGTAACGAAACTTACATTACTTTGCATATATCTATCTGGTCCAATTTAACTAAATTATGTATAAAGCTCCTTTATATAATGCAAATAACAAAGATTCTAAAGCTATTAAAGAGCGATTACGAATGTAATAGTATCATTTTAATATTACGAACATGTAATATTAAAGTTTAGTGTGGAGGTATCGGGTGTGGGAATAAAATTCGTGTTAATACTGGAGTACAAAATCGGTCTAAGTGTGGAAGGTTGATTCGTCGCACCCGAAGGATTGCCGAAAGATTGCCGAAAGAAAATTTTGAACGTACGTCTGACACGCTGAACAATTTTATCTTCCCACAAACTTAATAAATTTATACTCCCATAAACTTTAATATTACACGTTTGCAGAGTTGGGAAGTAACGCGTTACTTGTAACGACGTTACTATTTCGTTACTTTTTTTTGGTAATGATTTGGTAACGCCGTTACTTTTTTGTTTCAATAACGAAAAAGTAACGGCGTTACATTTTCTTTAGTAACGAGTAATGAAATTCATCGTTACTTATATCGTTACTTTTTACTATGATGGGTTCTGTACACAGAACGCGGCAACGCTTGCCATGCGAAAACAATTAATGTGCTGCTTTCTGTAAAGGCCATTCTACAATAAGCAATAAATTTTAAGTCATAATAAAATCGACCAATCATAGTCGATTATTAGAAGAATAATCCACTGTAATTGGTCAATTTTATTGCGACTTAAATTTTTTTGCTTACTGTAGAAAGCTTCTAAAGCGTGACCTACAATGAGAACTTAATCCATAAAATTTAAGCTTTAATCTCTAAGCCGTGAGAAATTATTTTTCTTATAATTGACTGTGATTGATCAACTTCTTATGGCTTAGGATTTAAAGCTTAAATTTTATGGCTTAAGTTCTCATTGTAGACCACACTTAAGGGGCGTCGCACAAGAATTGACATAACAGTAACGTAAGACGTACCGTAAGAACTGACCAATCACTTTGAGTATCGTCGAACCGTAAGGTCACCATTTTTGTGAATACTCGATTGTAATTGGTCCATTTTTACGGTACGTCTTACGTTACTGTTATGTCAATTCATGTGCGGCGTCCCTAAACCCATTCTACATTAGTCGCAATCGCAAGATCGCAAAGAAATTGTACCAATCATAATTGATTATTTTTCGATCGCAAGGAGAACAATCGACTATGATTAGTCAATTTCTTTGCGACCTTGCGACTTGCGACTAATGTAGAATGGACTTTATATCGTTATGCAATAATGTGTGCTTCCCGCTTAAATATCTTATATTTTGTCTTTATATATGTATAATTTATGTACAGTCTCTTCTACTATTCGTTTTATATGCCGATTTTAACTTTTTTTTTTACAAAAGTAACGGAAAGTAACGATTTTTTTATATTTACTTTTCAAATAACGGTAACGCGTTACTTATTAGAATCAGTAACGAGTAACGGTAACGAGTTACTTTTTACCGCAAGTAACGGTAACGGTAACGCGTTACTTTCAAAAATAACGTTCCCAACCCTGCACGTTTGTACTATTAAGATAACACTGCTACATTCGCTCTTTATTATTCTTAGAAACCCTGGTCTTATTTAGTTATATGTAATTGTATATAAAACAGTTTTTATATAATGGACAGTTAAGTAATAAAAGTTTTAAGTAATAAAAGTTTTAAGTATTATTTTGTCAAAAGTTAGGATACAATATATTTTTTTATGTTATTTAAACCTTATAGTAAGTAAATCACCTAAAAATATACTGTGTTCAGTAAATTTAAATAAACTAAATATTATGTGTGTAATTGTTGGTATATTTCATAACAAACTTTAAATAATTTTATGTAACTTCAAATAACAAATAACTTTTTGTAAAAGAAGCGTACGCTGATCTTTCAGTTTCTGCAGATCCCTCAAATACAGAGGTTAAGTAGTTCATGTGAAAAATTGTACTAAAATTTTATCTTGGAGATTTTTAGCGATACGTTAAAAGCGAACATTGTACGTCGTAATTCCATCATTCGGTGATCACCCATTTTTTCTACTGACTACAGAATAACTTATTTAACTTAAACGAGCATATACAAAGTAGTGATGCCAATTAGCTCTGAATAGTTTGGGGAGGCACTTAGAACAAACACTTGAAAATATATTTGCAGGATATAAAATTTATTTCGGTGAAATAAAGTTTATTTTTATATACAAATGTGTTACACAATATACTTTATATCGCACAAATAAATATTGAAATGTAGTTTTTCTCAGTGTATCTAGTTGTAACATGATGCTCATAACCATATAATATGTTCAGAAAGCTATTTTATGCTATACTTAGCGCTAATCGTGGAAAATAATGCGATATATAACGGATAATATTATGAAATCATATACATACTTCGTTTGAGCACAGTATAAACAATTTTTACCCAGATACGTTTTAGAACATAGCCGATAGCCAAAACAATGAAAGCATTACTTTTTCAGTGATTACGTAAAGTTAAGTTTTATGATTTATTCAATTATAGAATATATCCAGGAATTTGTTCAGAACGTATTGAGGCAAAGTTTACATATGCTATTTCTTTACAAAAAGAGGAGAGTGAAACATAACATTTATTTACTAACGAATGTATACTATTAAAAAAACCTATATTTTATTGGCGATTATGATTACATTTGTATTTAATTTACAATAAAACGTGAAAATTCGGAAGGCACTAATATTTCCAAGATTGTTTTTATGCTTTTTAACATATTTTGTCCATTTAAAAAGTAAAAATTATAACAGATGCAATGATTTATATTGATTACAAGGTACAGCATAAAAGTATAACTTATATAAAATGTTTTACAATTATTCCTACCACATATCATTAGCAGAACACGCAGACGATAAAGGAAGAATTTACGAGATAATTATATAAAACTCATTATGGATTGACTGTAGCTGCATATAATACCTATAACTACGGAATAACATGCGACAAATTGTAAAATTTTAAGACATTATGTATGCAGTAATCTTTCTGTTATTACATATATAACATAGTATACGTGTTTTGAAAGAATAAGAAATTAAACACTATTTATTTGTGTCTGAATATGTCCTTCAGTAAGAAAATTATTATCTATTCCTGAATTCTATTGAAAATGTAGTGACATCAAATCTATATTAAAATGAAATTATGATTAAACAACACTTTACTTTTAGCCTTGGACTGGTTCGGTCATGTGATTTAAATTCATGAATACATAATAAAGTGCGCATTTCGGTTATAAAATTCTCCAGTTATATAGTCTCTGTATGGTGTACAACCGCGGAATTTATTTCTTCTGTACAATCGTGTTCTGCTTGTACCTGTTTCTTCTTGTATTTTATCTACATTCTCTTCTGCTGTACTTTTTGAATCTGCGGTTAAAAGTAACGGACAATTTTGAGCTATTACTGCTTCTATAGAATGAAACCATGTTCTTACGAAAATAGTTTCTGTTTCAAGTAGCACAATCACATTTGGTTTTTCAAATGACTGTAAGTGTACATAATCGTAGTACGGCTCTGGTACATATTTAACATGAAGTTTCTGTGTTAAGTTCTTGCATTTAGAGCATACAGACCCTAGAGATTTGGATTCAAATATTGGCGATTTTATAAATACAATACGTAGTTCCTTTATGTTTTTAAAGAAATGTAAGAAAATATGCCAAAATTGCGAAGACATAACATCTATTATATCTGCATCTATAAGATGAACGATATATTTATGTCTAATGGTTGGGAGACCTAATAAATTTGATTCTTGTAACGCGTAGTATAATGTCATCGGGCCTGATACATAATCAGAATATATATAAGATTTTAATCCCCAATAGCGAGTTGAATTTAAAATGTAATTAGTACGAATAAATAAAAAGGTGTGGAATGTATAATTATTAATAAATGTAACAATGTCATCATAAGGTTTCACACCAGGAAATTTGGAGAACTTGTGTCGAGACACAATCTCTTCCAATGAATCGTTAATATAGGTGATATTCATGTTCAGTAATAGCAACAGCTTGGCGCAGCAATCCGTATGTTTTAGCTTAAAAAGCATTTCATGATCATCACAAAAATTAGCTGAATAGCAAATTTGGCACGGCTTGACGTTTAATTGTTTGTAACAAATATAACATGATTTCGCGAATATTAACATCTCTGTTTCATACCGGTATGTTTCGCGTGATAGAACAGACAGTATATTTACTGTAATGTTTTGTCGTGATTTCATCCATTCTTCCGAGTTAGGGTATGTGCCCCAAAACGATATGTCCAATGACATTATCAATGATATAGCATTGCACATCTCCAAGTGGGAATATTTATGTACCTCCTGGTGCTCCTTGGAACAGTAAGAAATCATATTACACTGATTACATGTTATTAAGTCTCCGCTGGGCAGTTTGCAAACATGACAAATGTTTGGATTGAAAAACTGATTATATTTTTCTTCTGTGTATGGTCCATAAAATGTATATATCTCTTCTGAATATTCGATTGAATTCATCGCAAAACTTCTTAATTATAATTTAGGAATATCTTGCTTGTAATATTTACTTCAAAATAATGCGCGAAACTTGACAACTTACACAGTGTAACAGAAATATTTATACGAATTATATATAAATGTTTAACCAGTAATAGTACACGGGACACTAATAGCGAATACAAATATGTTTGTATCGGAAAAGTTGTTGACAAAATAAATTGTAACTACCAATATGAGGAACTAGAAATATTCATCAGTGTAGAATTACAATATGATACAATCGTTATGACCATCTACTTTAGGACTGAAAATATAGCATAAAGTTTAAAAAGGAAGACACTTTAGCAAATTTGTGCTAAGTTTGAACAAAACTTTATGCATTTTGGTAATGTACCAGAAAGAATATTTTAAATGAACTAAACCGTTAAGAGGACATTTTTTATATGTAGTGATCAGCTTTCCTCGTTCAAGCAACGGTAAGTGTTGCTTAACTTTGATGGACGAGCGGCACACGGTGATTTTAATGATTATAACGATATTTTTAGGACTTATATAATGTACCGTTGTAATATGCACAGAACATTATAATATATTTACTCTCAAACATTGAAATAACGGATGAACGTTATATATGCGACAAATGTTGGTGTAATGCGTGTTACTATGCTAGTGATTACATAACTGCTTTAAGATTTTGAACAAGATATTATTATAATTAACCTATACAGAAAATGATTTAAAATTTAAATTTGTTCAATAACCAAAAATTCAAAAAGCTATTGGGAATTCTTGTTTAAAATAATAATGCGTCATTATCAATTAATATGAATTTTCTTCAACGATGTAACAGAGCTTTTAACGAAATATTCTCTATAAATATATTATTTTGAAAGAGAGACACACACAAGCGAAAGTCAGTTAAAGTATATTAAATACTATATAGTTACATATAAATTATGTATTATTATATATAATTATATTTAATTAGCAATCATATATAGTTATAAATAAGCAGCATTAAGCAGCATCATACAAAATTATATGTAATAATGTAACGAAATATACATAACTTTTAATACATCTATCTAATTTTATTTAATTATATATAATAATATATATAACATTTTACATAACGGATAGTTAAGTAATTGAAATTATAAATATTGTCATGTAATAAGTAAGTTTTAAATTATACTTGTATGTTACTTAACCATTATTGTAAATAAATAACCAAACAATTGTAAATAACTTTCGAAAAATTCATTTTTTTTAAAAGAAGCGTAGGCTGATCTTTCAAATTCCTCCGATCATTCATATAGAGAAGTTAAGTAGTTCATGTAAAAAATTGTGCTAAAATTTCACCTTGGAGACTTTTAGCAGTATGTTAAAAACAAACATTGCACGTCGTAATACGAATAGCCCTATCATTCGGTAATCATCCAATCTTTTTATTGAATAAGGTATAAGTTATTTAACTTAAACGAGCATATACAAATTAATGATACCAATTATCTCTGACTAGTCGGCGGAAGTATTCAGAACAAATACATCAAAATATATTGATAAGATACAAAATTTATTTTTGTGAAATAAAGTATATTTCTATACACGAATGTTTGACAGTACACTTTATATCCCACAAATAAATATTGAAATATATTTTTTCTCAACGTGATTAGTTTTCCATGATACTCATTACCTTACAATATGTCCAGTAAGCTGCTATATGCTATACTTACCGCTAATCGTGGAAAATAATGCGATATATAATGGATAATTTTATGCACTTCGTTTAAGCACGGTATTAACAATTTTTAGCCAGATACGTTTTAGAACATAGCCGATAGCCAACACAATGAAAGAATTTCTTTTTCCGTGATTAAATGAAATTAAATTTTATTATTTATTAGATTATAGGATATATCCAGGAATGTATCAGAAAGTGATCAGAACGTATTAAAGCAAAGTGTACATATGCTACATCTCTACAAACACTGTAGAGATACCTAATATACATTTACTAACGAACGCATTAAAAAGTTTACATTTTATTGGCGACTATGATTATACTTGTATTTAACTTACAATAAAATGAGAAAGCTCGGAAGGTAAGAATGCTTTTATATCTCTTAATATATTTTGATAATTTAAAATGTAAAAGTCGTAAAAGATGCAACGAATTATGTTTATTACATGATACAACATAAAAATAAAACTTATATAAAATGTATTACAATTATTCCTATCACATATCATTTGCAGAACACGCGGACGATACTGGAGAAATTTACAAGATAATCGTACATAACTCAGTAAAGAATGATCGTAGCTGTATATAATACCCAATTATAGAATAGCGTGCGGCAAAGTGTAAAATTTTAAGAAATTATGTATGCGACAACCATTCTATTATCTTTTATATAATATGTTTTACCTATTCTGAAAAAGTAAGATATAAAATACTATTGATTTGTGTCTAAATGTATCTCTCAGTAAGAAAATTAATATTTATTCCTAAATTTTATTAAGTAATGAGTGCCATCACATCTGTATTGAAATGAAATTAAGATAAAACAATACATTACTTTCTTGAATGGATGGGTTATGTGATTTAAATTCATGAATACATAATAAAATGCGTATTTCGGTAATAACATCCTCCAGTTACATAGTTTCTATATGGTGGACAACCGACGAATTTATTTTTCCTGTATATTCGAATTCTGGTTGCACCTGTCACATCTTCTACCTTATCTACACTCTCTTGCGCTATATTTTCCGAATGGGCGGTTAAAAACAACGGACACTCTTGTGCTATTATTGCTGTTATAGACTTGAACCATTTTCCTAGAAGTAAAGCATCTATTTCAACTAGTACAATCACATTTGGTTACCCATATAAATCTGAGCGTACATAATTGTGGTATTGCTCTGATACATATTTAACATAAAGTTTCTGATTATAGTTATTGCACGTAGAACACATAAACCCTAGATCTTTGGATTCGAACATTGGCGAATTGATAAATACAATATACAGCTGTTTTATTTTTTTTTTAATATGTAACAAAATATGCCAAATTTGCAAATACATTCCATCTATTCTAATTGCATCTATAACATGAACGATGTATTTACGTACAATGCGTGGAAGTGATAATAAGTTTGATTCCTGCAATGCGTAGTATAATGTCATCGGACCGGATACATATGCAGAACATTTATAATGTTCACATGTCCAGTGCTGAGTTGAATAAGGAAATTTTAATATTATACTAAAATATGTATCTTTTGTGGGTATATAAAAATTAAGAAATATAATAATGTCATGATAAGGTTTCTCATCAGGAAATGAGATGAACTTTTGTCCGTATCGACATTCGACTGTCTCTTTCATACAGCCGTTAATATAGACGATACTCGTGTTCAGTAACATCAACTCATCGCAGTATTTTTTATGAAATAGATTAAACAGTATTTGGTGATCATCACAAAAATTGGCTGAATAGTAAGTACTGCAGAGCCTTATGTTTCCCTGTAGAAAACACATGTAACACAATTTTGCGCACATTATCATCTCCGTTTCATATTGGTATGCGCAGCGTGATAGAGTAGTTAGTATTTTTTGTAAAATTTCTTTTCGTAATTCTATCCATTCTTCCGGGTTGCGGTATGTGACCCAAAAGTATTTGTCCGTTATTGCAGTTGCTATAACTTTGCAGATTTCCAAATGTGAACATTTATGTCTCTCCTGGTGCTCCATGGAACATTAAGAAATCATATGACATTGATTACAAGTTATTAAGCTTCTGCTGGGCCGTTTAAAAACATGACAAATATTTGAAACTGGACACATTTGGAATTTCAAACATTTGCATTGAAAAACTGATTATAATTACCTTCTATGTATGGCCCCACAAAATCTACTAATTTCTTTAATTCGACCGCAACACGTTTTAGTAACTGTCATTTACGAGTATTTTGTTTGTAATATTTATTTCGAAATAATGCGCGAAACTCGACGAGTTCCCAGAGTGTAACAGGAATGTTTATATATAGATGTATAACCAGAAATAATACACGTGGCAATAATAACGAATACAAATATGTTTATATCGAAAATGTTGTTGACAAGATGAATTGTAACTAATAATATGAGGGCCTATGAATATTCATTGGTGTACAGATGACAATATGATTGATTCCTTATGAAAATCTACTTTAAAAGACTGAAAATATATTACAAAATTTACGAAGAAAGATGCTTTAGTAAATTTGTGGTAATTTCTAGCAAAATTTTAAATTTTTTGATATTGTACTATAGAGGTCACTTTAAGTAAACTAATCCGTCAAAGAAATGTTTTTGATCTGTAGTAATCAGCTGTCCGTGTTATGACAACGGTATGTGTTCCTTAACTTTGAAGATCGAGAGACACGCGGAGATCTTAACGGCTATAAAGATGTTATCAGGACTTATATAACGTATCCTTAAGTATTCACGGAGCATTATATTATATTTACTCACAAACATTGAAATGATGGATCAACATTATGTATGCGACAAATATTAGTATAATGTGTATGAGTGTGCAAGTACTTACATAACTGCTGTGAGGTTTTCAACAAATTATTATTCTGATAAATCTGAACAGAAAATAGTTTAAAACAATTTACATAATAGTCAAAATTTAAAAAAACAGTTTGGAATTCTTGTTTTAAATAATAATGCCTCATTACCAAGCAATATTGATTTTTTTCAGCGATATAACAGAGTTTTTAAAAAAATGATAAATTCTATACAAATATATTATTTTTTATAAGCGAGAAACCCAGAAACCAATGTCAATTATGAAATACCGAAAGCTATATTGTGGTACAAAATTACATATAAATTATATACATTTATATATATATTATATAATAATAAATAATAATAAATTTTAAGTCATAATAAAATCGACCAATCATAGTCGATTATTAGAAGAATAATCCACTGTAATTGGTCAATTTTATTGCGACTTAAATTTTATTGCTTATTGTAGAAAGC